GGTAGAGTGTGAAAAGGGGAGGGAAGGGAAGGGAATGGAGGGGAGAGAGGGAGGGAAGAAGAGGTCAAGGGAAAGGAAGGGAAGGTAGAGGGAGGAGAGGGGAAAGGGAGGGGGAGAGGAAAGGGAGAAGAGGGGAAGGGAGAGAACATAGGTGAGGAGAAGGGAGGGGAGGAGGAGGAGAGGCAGGGAAGGGAAGGGAGAGAGGGCAGGAGAGGAGAGACAGGTGAGAGGGGGAGAGAGGAGAGAGGGAGGAGAGGAGAGAGGGAGGGAGAGAGGGAAGAAAGGGGGGTCAAGGGAAGGGAGAGAGGGAGGAGAGGGGAAGGGAAGGGAATGGAGGGGAGAGAGGGAGGGAGGGAAGGAGAGGTCAAGGGAAGGGAAGGGAGAGAAGGAGGAGAGGGAAAGGGGAGGGGAGAGGGGAAGGGAAAGGAATGGAGAGGACAAGGGAAGGGAGAGAAGGAGGAGAAGAGAGGGAAAGGGAAAGGGGAAGGAAAGAGGAGAGGAGAGAGGGAGGAGAGGAGTGACCCAAGAGGAGAAACAAGACTTGGGCACCTTAATCGCTTTTATGTCTTTGGCTATTTCATTCTGCCTTTTTGACGAGCTCTGAGCTTTCTTCGCGCAGACATGACATTACCGGCCTACGCCACATCATCAGTGCAAGAGGGGAATGCATTGGCTGGCTGTTTCTGTACCACAAGTGCTTGGTTAAGATGTGGCTTCTTCCTTAAGCTTTAAGATAACTAGCTGGTTTAAGATAACTAGCTGGCGGGGAGCACAGAAAAGGATAAAAAACAACATCTGGCAACTCCCCAGACTGACGCTTGCTGGGGGTCACAGAACATCTGACAGTTCTAGTTTTCTTTTTTTTTAAAAAAAAAAAATAATACATACTAGTTTAGCCTGGTCAGACCAGCTTAGGGAGGGGGACAGCTGCTGTATCCTGTTGCGATGCTTGCTTGCCCGTGGGGGGGGGGCTTGATTTTGGCTTGAAGGACACGTGTTGCATTAGAGGATTGTTTTCTTCTGCTTTCAGGACCCCCAAGGAAGGGAGCCCGGATAACACCGTGGTGGAGATGAAGGCTGACAGGCGGAACGAGCAGACGGGCTTGTTGAGTCCCGGAGGAGGAGGCGGAGGCGGCGGAGGAGGAGGAGGGGGGACGAACGAGGTGAGGAGGGGGCTGGTGGGCCAGCGATAAGAACCCCCTGCCCTTTAAGCTTCAGAGTTTCAGCCTTTCGCAGGGGTAGGCAAACCTTGGCCCTTTTATGACTGGTGGACTTCAACTCCCAGAATTCCTGAGCCAGCATGGCTCAGCATGGCAACCTCTCCCTTTCCCCTCAGCGTGGCTGGCTCAGGAATTCTGGGAGTTGAAGTCCACCAGTCATAAAAGGGTCAAGGTTTCCCCAGCCTGTCCTGGGCTGTCCAGCACAGATAAGGGTTGGGGAGAGGGTGTAAGGGACGCTCTCTGCATGGTGAGATCGTCAGGCTGATGTTGTGAATTCTATAATCTGAGTCAAGAGGACATCAGGACATAAGGGGGCAACATTGTGGGGTATGGGCCTCAAGTTCCCAGAATTCTCAGCAATGGCCAAGCGGCTAGGGGAATCCTGGGAGCTGAAGCCCATATATCTGGTGCTGGCAGGATCGGGGAAAGAAGAGATTGGGGCAGTGCAAAGGAAGACTACGGAGTGTGAATTAATGCCATCTTTTCTTCCTTCTTCTTTCCTTCGCTCCCTTCCCTCCTTCCTCCATTTGCTCTTCCCTCTCTCCCTTTTTTCTTCCTTCCTTCCTTCCTTCCTTCCTTCCTTCCTTCCTTCCTTCCTTCCTTCCCTGCCTCAACATCATCCTTCCTTCCCTCTCTCCCTTTTTCCTTCCTTCCTTCTTCCTTCCTTCCCTCCCTCCCTCCCTCTTCAAAATTCTCCTTCCCTCTCTCTCTCCCTCCTTCCATGCCTTCCTTCCCTTTTCCAAATCTTCCTTNGGAGGGGAGAGAGGGCAAGGGAAGGGAGAGGGAGGAGAGGGGAAGGGGAGGGGAGAGAGGGAGGGAAGGAGAGGTCAAGGGAAGGGAGAGAAGGAGGAGAAGAGAGGGAAAGGGGAAGGGAAGGGGCTCCAATAAATATAATATTTCATTCTGCCTTTTTGACGGGCTCTGAGCTTTCTTCCCGCAGACATGACATTACCGGCCTACGCCACATCATCAGTGCAAGAGGGGAATGCATTGGCTGGCTGTTTCTGTACCACAAGTGCTTGGTTAAGATGTGGCTTCTTCCTTCAGGTTTAAGATAACTAGCTGGTTTAAGATAACTAGCTGGCCGGGAGCACAGAAAAGGATGGGGAAAAAAACAACATCTGGCAACTCCCCAGACTGACGCTTGCTGGGGGTCACAGAACATCTGACGGTTCTGGTTTTCTTTTTTTTAAAAAAATAATACATACTAGTTTAGCCTGGTCAAACCAGCTTAGGGAGAGGGAAAGCTGCTGTATCCTGTTGCGATGCTTGCTTGCCCATGGGGGGGGGGAGGCTTGATTTTGGCTTGAAGGACACGTGTTGCATTAGAGGATTGTTTTCTTCTGCTTTCAGGACCCCCAAGGAAGGGAGCCCGGATAACACCGTGGTGGAGATGAAGGCTGACAGGCGGAACGAGCAGACGGGCTTGCTGAGTCCCGGCGGAGGCGGAGGAGGCGGTGGAGGAGGAGGAGGAGGGGGGACGAATGAGGTGAGGAGGGGGCTGGTGGGCCAGCGATAAGAACCCCCTGCCCTTTAAGCTTCAGAGTTTCAGCCTTTCGCAGGGGTAGGCAAACCTTGGCCCCTTCATGACTCGTGGACTTCAACTCCCAGAATTCCTCAGGCAGCCTGGCTCAGCGTGGAAACCTCTCCCTTTCCCCTCAGCATGGCTGGCTCAGGAATTCTGAGAGTTGAAGTCCACCAGTCATAAAAGGGTCAAGGTTTCCCCAGCCTGTCCTGGGCTGTCCAGCACAGATAAGGGTTGGGGAGAGGGTGTAAGGGACGCTCTCTGCATGGTGAGATCGTCAGGCTGATGCTGTGAATTCTATAATCTAAGTCAAGAGGACATCAGGACGTAAGGGGGCAAGATTGTGTGGTGTGGGCCTCAAGTTCCCAGAATTCTCAGCAATGGCCAAGCGGCTAGGGGAATCCTGGGAACTGAAGCCCATATATCTGGTGCTGGCAGGATCAGGGAAAGAAGAGATTGGGGCAGTGCAAAGGAAGACTACGGAGTGTGAATTAATGCCGTCTTTTCTTCCTTCTTCTTTCCTTCGCTCCCTTCCCTCCTTCCTCCATTTGCTCTTCCCTCTCTCCCTTTTTTCTTCCTTCCTTTCTTCCTTCCTTCCTTCCTTCTTTCCTTCCTTCCTTCCTTCCTTCCTTCCCTCCCTCAACATCATCCTTCCTTCCCTCTCTCCCTTTTTCCTTCCTTCCTTCTTCCTTCCTTCCTTCCCTCCCTCCCTCCCTCTTCAAAATTCTCCTTCCCTCTCTCTCTCCCTCCCTCCCTTCCTTCCTTCCTTCCTTCCTTCCTTCCTTCCTTCCTTCCTTCCTTCCTTCCTTCCTTCCTTCCTTCCTTCCTTCCTTCCTTCCTTCCTTCCTTCCTTCCCTCCCTCCCTCCCTCTTCAACATCCTCCTTCTTCCCGTCCTTCCATGCCTTCCTTCCTTCCTTTTTCCAAATCTTCCCTCCCTCCTTCCTTCTTTCCTTCCTTCCTTCCATCCTCCCTCCCTCCTTCCCTCCCTCCCTTCTAAATCTTATTTCCTTGCTTCCTTTTTCCAAACCTTCCTTCCTTCCTTCCTTCCTTCCTTCCTTCCTTCCTTCCTTCCTTCCTTCTTTCCTCCCTCCCTCCCCTTTTCCCTTCTCTCCCTTGCAGTGCTGAGCAGAAGGAAGGCTGGTCTTCTTCCAGGGGAGGCCCCTTCCCATTCTGTACCGCCCACAATGGATGGAGAAGATGCTGGAGACCCTGCCAGGGCATGACAGCCCCCTCCCTCCTTTTCTCCTTCCCTCCCTCCTTCCCTCCCCCTGGGGGGCTGGGAGCTTCCTTTGCACCTAGACTTTTGTGGCTGGAGGGGTTCAGATGCCCAAGAGGGGAGAGCTGAGCTATTCTGCCACTACTTCTTCCTCCTTCAAAAACAAAAAAACAAAAAAAAAAATCCCACATTTTTGGGTGATGTTTGTTTTGCTTTGTTTTTGTTTTGTTTTTTTAAAAAAGGAACTGACATTTATCTGGACAGACGCTCCCTTTTTTAGGCTCCAGCATTTCCTAAATAAAGTCGCCCACAGACACATCGATGTCACCCAGACAAACCCAACTTTGCGGAAGTTGCTAACCCGTCGGTTTTTTGATGTTCTTCTTCTTTTTTTTCTTTTCCAACCAACTTTCAGCCAGCCCATCTCTGCCAGTTACCTACGAGCGAAAACGAACTGTGTTTTGTTAACCTAAACCCTCCCTCGCTCCAAAGGGAGTCACGCTTGCCACAATCCTTTGTCTTCTCGCCTTGCGTAAATTTACCCATTTTCCCGTGCACGCCTGCCCGTGTGTCCGCTCGGTGTTATGCATGCCCCCAAAGGGAACCTCCGAGAGAAGCTTGCATGTACGACTTTTCCCACCTCACGGCCTCCTCCGTTCGCCCGCCGTTCTGGAATGGCCCCGTCACCCACCCGTACATCTCTCTAGCAAGCATTCTTCCATTCCTCCTGGTTAAACTAGCCAGCATTGGAACGGCTTGCCTCCAGAAGTTGTGGGTGCTCCATCCCTGGAGGTTTATAAGAAGAGACTGGGGAGTCTTTTGTCTGGAATAATACAGGGTAGGGGTAGGCAACCTTGGCTCTTTTATGACTCGTGGACTTCAACTCCCAGAATTCCTGAGCCAGCACAGCTGGCTCAGGAATTCTGGGAGTTGAAGTCCACGAGTCATAAAAGAGCCAAGGTTGTCTACCCCTGATATGGGGTCTCCTGCTTGAGCAGGGGTTGGACTAGAAGACCTCCAAGGTCCCTTCCAATTCTGTTATTCTGTATTCATCTGTCACACTAGTGCGGGAGCAGGCGACTAAGTCCCCTTTGCGACCTGTGGACTTCAGCTCCCAGAATTCATAGTTTAGACCAGGGGTCTCCAAACTTGACAACTTGTGGACTTCAGCTCCCAGAATTCCTCAGCCACCCATGGGAATTCTGGGAGTTGAAGTCCACAGGTCGTAAAGGGGATATAACTGTCCTTCCTTGTACTGTTATGTCCCTCTGGATTTGAGCATCACCAGCTTTGAAATTCAGCCTCTGTTTACCGATAATCTGATCCATCAAAGGAACGATCCATTAAAAGCGCGAGTGATAAACGTTCCTCCACTACATCTAGTCCTTGACTTAACGACAGTTCGTTTAGTGACTGTTCAGAGCTACGACGGCACTGAAAAAAGTGACTTAAAACCATTTTTCACCCTTTTGACCGTTGCAGCCTCCCCAGGGTCCTGGGATATACATTCAGATTCTTGACAACTGCTTCATATTTGTGACGGTCGCAACGTCCCGGGGGTCACGCAATCCCCTTTTGTGACCCCTTTCTGATGAGCAAAGTCCCTGGGGGAAGCCAGACTCGCTTAGCGACCACATTACTAACTTGATCAGCTGCAGCGATTCCCTTAGCAACTGTCGTAAAATGGGGCAAAGCTCACTTAACGAATTCCTCACTTAACAATATAAAATTCCGGAGCTCAGTTGCGGTAAGTTGAGGACTACCTGTTTAGGCGATTCCATACATCATCGATCCTCTGACTCGCAGGCAACCTTTTGGCTCTTTTATGACTTGTGGACTTCAAGACCCAGAATTCCCGAAGCAGCCACGCTGACTCAGGAATTCTGGGAGTTGAAGTCCACAAGTCATGAAAGAGCCACGGTTGTTTACCCCTGGGGTAGAGCTCAAGTCAACGAGTTGGAAGATATGATATTTTGTTTTTCCTGAGCCCATTGCAGGGCTGTGCAATCCCTGTGCTTTTTTTTTTTTTTCCACACACCCCATGGCAATGCTATCATTTTATCCTGACTCACAATCAACCGAGTGTAGTAGCCAAGAAAAGTGATTTTGTCTGCGCATATTCCCTGCTCTCTTCTGTTTTGTATAGCTTATTGGCTTCGGGGCTTTGGGGAAGGGTCTTTTCAGGCCGAAGGTGTGTGTGTGTGTGGGGGGGGTTCTTCCAGCTACAGAATCCCTTTCATTAAAAGATGGCTGGGGGACAGACAATGAATTGTATTTTTGTGTTCTCCCGATGTCTCCGCTCCCCAGAGGGGTGCCCGTGCTTGTCCCTTATCGACATGGGGGGCATTTGAAGCCGCCCAATCTGTGTGTTGTTTTTTTTTTTTATTTTACAGGGCACCGTTTTGCGTGTATGGCGAAATCTCCTAGGAATAAATGTGTTTTTCAGGGTTGTGATCTCTCCGTGGTTCTCAAATCCTGCGTTTCCCAACCTGGGGAACTTTTAAGAGGAGCGGACTTCAACTCCCAGAAGCTGGCTGGGGAATTCTGGGAATTGAAGTCCACCCATCTTAAAGTCCCCCAGGTTGGGAAACACTGCCCTAGTCCCTGTGATATGTCACTGCCTTTCTCTCTTGCACTGTCTGGTCGAGACACTGGCGTTGGGGGTGATGGGGTGGTGGGGGTGAATATTGGGGGGCCTTTCTTTTCTTATAATTAGATACCTTTAATGGTGTTGCAGCCTAGAACAGAACGAAGCTGCGAGCTGTGGCACAGCGCGGTGGAGAATAGTAGGCTAGGAGATGGAGCCCAGTGGCTTTTTATAAAAAAAAAAAGCATTTTAAAAAAGCACAGGAAGCTGGACATTTTACGAGTTTCACCTGGAATGGCAGCTGGAATATTCCTTTCTCTCTTTGCCCCTCCGGCCTTCCAGATGTGGCTGCTGGGCTTCCGTCCCCAGCAACCACTAGGGCAGGCCAGCTGGGAAATGTAGTTTATTAACCCCCAACTAGGAAGGAGAAAGGCTTGCTATCAATTTGCCGAATGTTTAAAAAGGCCGCTTACGTCTGATTGCAATTTTTGGCCTCTTCTCTTCCCACCGACGGCAAAGTCCAGGTTGCTTCCCTTAAAATATAAAATAGCAACCTTCCCATCCTTCTCCTGACGCCCTTTTGAGAAATTTTGATTATTTGGCCACGGCTTTCTGGATGTTTGCATCCGTTGGGAAGAGAGAGGGATTAAGTGACCCTTCAAAGGAGATTTTTTTTAGCCGCCTTCTGGGTGGGGATTTCTCTGCAGACCAAGGCAGAGGAACCGATTGGTTTAATGGTTACGGAGATCCATAGGTCAATCCACGTCATGGTTGTCCCAAAGGAGCTTCCCCCCCCCAAAAAAAGCAAGTGGACCTTGTTTTTCCTTGCAGACATTTCGCTTCTTCTCCAAGAAGCTTCTTCCGTTCTTCAGTCAGAACGGAAGAAGCTTCTTGGAGGAGAAGCGAAACGTCTTCATGGGGAAATAAAGTCCATTTGCCTTTTGAAAAAGCATCTTTGGGAGGATCCACCAGTTGGCATCTTAGCAGACTTCCATCCTCTGGGCCGCCTGATCCTACCACCCTGTGCCACGGCTCCTGCACCTCCGTTCGGATGTTTCTACTTTCTACAGCCTTTGCCCGGTTATGCTGTACGTTAGCCATTAAAACAAAAAAAAGATTATAACCTCTATTTGACTCCTGAATCTTGGTGTGTCTGCGCGGGATTCCTCTCCCGCATATCGGATGCGACTCGGAGCTGCTAAACGACCCGATCCCACCCCTGTCAGAGCCCACAAAAGAAATCCCTTCCGAGGCAGGCCTTCCTCCCAACCTTGGAAGGAAACGACAAGTCCTAGAACTAAGGAGAAACTTCCTGACAGTTAGAACAATTAACCAGTGGAACAACCTGCCTCCAGAAGCGGTGAATGCGCCAACACTGGAAGTTTTTAAGAAGAGACTGGACAGCCATTTGTCCGAAATGGTACAGGGTTTCCTGCCTGAGCAGGGGGTTGGACTAGATGACCTCCAAGGTCCCTTCCAACTCTGTTATTCTATAATCCCAGTTCAATTAATCAATGGGATTGCTTCCAGATCTTGTGGGTGCTCCATTACTGGAAGTTTTTAAGAAGAGAACGAACAGCCATTTGTCCAAAATGGTATAGGGTTTCCTGCCTGAGCAGAGGGTTGGACTAGATGACCTCCAAGGTCCCTTCCAACTTTTTTTTTTTATTATTATTATTATTATTATTATTATTATTATTATTATTATTATTATTATTATTATTATTATTATTATGTCGTTGATTTTCTCCTTATTTTCCCTTCTCCCAACAAAAGGATGCATGCTATTGTACAGGTGGCCCTTGACTTACAGCCACTCGTTTAGTGACTGTTCAAAGTCACAACGACGCTGAAAAAAGGGACCTAGGACCGTTTTTCATACTTAGCATCCCCACGGTCACGGGGTCGAAATTCAGCCGCTTGGCAACTGGCTCATATTTATGACGTTTTCACTGTCCCGGAGTCACGGGATCCCCTTTTGCAACCTCCCAACAAGCAAAGTCAAATGGGGAAGCTAGATTTATTGAACAACACCCCCCCACTGTTGCTAACTTAACAACCGCCGTGATTCACTTAACAACTGTGGCAAAAAAAAAAAAAAAAGGCTGTAAAATGGGCCCCAAAAACTCAATACTGTCTTGTTTAGCAAGAGAAATGTTGGGCTGCTTTGTGGTTGTAAGTTGATTGCCTGTATAAGTGGGCTGGCTTTACGCCTTGCAGAATTATTTTCGGTGCTCCGGGCTTCCCTCGGTGAATTAAAATCCAGGGTTGCACAGTCAAGTGCTCAAATTTGGGTGCTTCTGTGCTGAATTCCTCATGTTG